TTTTTTTTTTTTTTTTGAGACCATCTTGTTTTGTCACCCAGAGTAGAGAGTGCCATGGTGTCAGAGGTCACAGCAACCTCCCACTCCTGGGCTGGAGCCATCCTCCTGCCTCAAGGCCTCCTGAGTAGCTGAGACTAAGGTGCCCACCACAATGCCTGGGTAATTCTATTTTTAGTAGAGATGAGGTCTTGCTCTTGCTCCGGCTGGACTGGAACGACTGAGCTCAAGTGATCCACCACACGCCATCCTCTAGGCTTGGCCTCCCGCGATGCTGGGATACAGGGCTGAGCCACCACACTGGATCTCATGAGCAGCCTTTTAAGTGGTTTGGACTTGCAGATATAGATGGTCCCCACTTAACAATAGTTCCACTTTGGATTTTTTGACATCATGATGGGTTTATCAGATAATTAAATGCATTTCAATTCAAAATATTTCTGACTTCCAATGGCTTATGGGGATACAACCCCATAGAGGACATGTGTAACCTGACCTGACTGGGCACTCCTGTTGATCAGTCAGTGCCTTTGTTTATAAACCTGTCATTGTTGCTTATAAATTTGTGTTCTCAAATCTAATATAAACTATTCTAGAAAAATTTAATTTCCAAACCTTTTTAAAAGCTCACAACCTCTTATGAAAAAAATGCTCATTGTCCCTAATCATCTGAGAAATGCAAACCAAAACTACCCTAAGATATCACTAACCCCAGTGAGAATGGCACACATCATAAAGTCTCAAAGCTGCAGATGCTGGTGAGGATGAGGAGAGAAGGGAACACTTATACTGCTGGTGGGACTGCAAACTAACACCTCTTTGGAAAGAAGTATGGAGAATCCTCAACGAACTCAAATTAGACCTCCCATTTGATCCTGCAATCCCATTACTGGGCATCTACTCACAAGAAAACAAATGATTTTGGCCGGCCATAGTGGCTCACGCTTGTAATCCTAGCGCTCTGGGAGGCCAAGTGGGTACACTGCTTGAGCTCATGGATTCAGTCCACCCTTAGCCAGAGTAAGATCCTGTCTCTACTACAAACATAAAAAACTGAGGCAAGCGGACTGCTTGAGCCCAAGAGTTGGGGGTTGCTGTGAGCTATGTTGTCACCATGGCACTCTACCCAAGGACAGCTTGAGACTCTCTCTCAAAAAAAAAAAAAAAAATCATTTTACCATAAGAATATTCATACTAGACTGTTTATTGCACCTCAATTTATAATGACCCAAATTCGGAAACAACCTAAATGCTCACCAACCCAGGAATGGATTAATAAGCTGTGATATATGTATACTATGGAATACTATTCAGCCACTAAAAAAGATGGAGACTTTACATCTTTAACCTGGATGGAGGTGGAACATTCTTCTTAGTAAAGCAGCACAGGCACAGAGACTCAAAAATCCAATGTGTTCAATTCTAATATGAAGGCAGTAGATGAGCTAATATAAGGTGGGGGGTAGGGGAATCAGGTACTGGGAGAAGGAAGGGTCATGGTGTATGGCACACCTCTTGGGTGCGGGACACAATTAAAAGACGAACTTTACTTAACAAACGTAATCAGTGCAGACTAATTCTCTGTACCCTCAATGAATCCCAAACAATAAAAAAAAAAAAAGGCTGCTGACCAGCCAGCCCTAGACCCTAGGCCCAGTGAGCAGATATCTGGGCTCTGGCTCGGCGCCTGTGGCTCAAACGGCTAAGGCGCCAGCCACATACACCTAAGGTGGCAGGTTCGAATCCAGCCTGAGCCAGCCAAACAACGATGGCTACAACCAAAAAATGGCCAGGCGTTGTGGCAGGCGCCTGTAGTCCCAGCTACTTGGGAGGC